TTTCACGTTCCCATAGAGTCGAAAAATTAGCCAATAAAAAAATGTGCGTCAGATACCGTTATAATAAACACGAGATATTGGGGAATTCAAAAGTCTCGCCAATATTTGAATGTTCCAATGCCATTAAAAAGACTTTTTGGAATCACATATTTTAGAATTATTATGTTCGGAATCGTCGATCTACCCTCCGGCTTTACATAAGCGAGAATAATATCCATTGGAATTACGACTAAGATCCGTTCTTTAGAAATCAAATGTGTAATCGGAACAGTAACCAGACTTTGTAAAATCACAAGGATTTTAGTGCAGGGGTATGCCAAAGAAAAAGAATTAAACAAATTTAAATGTGGGATTTGTAATATCAAACAAGTTTGATATGAAAAGCAGGTGGATCCCAAGAAACAATCTCTTCCTTCTGAGTCAAGAGAGACTCAGAAGTGCTTGTGTGGTGTCCCATTAAATTAGGATCATCGGATTGTTGAGAAACGATGAAAGGATTCTTTTATAAGGCTTAAAGAGTGGTTTCAGCTTCACACAAATTTCTGAAACTCAACATAAGTCTGAAGATCTGAAAGAAGTACTTGTTTTACCAGTGTAGCCATAAAACAAGAAATTTTGGATATTCTTTTAAAGTAATTGGGTATTTTGGAAAATCTTCATTTGGAAATCTAAAAAAAAAAACCTGGATCTTTTTGGAAGAAATGACTTCGGTCAAGAACATTTCATTAAGATAATACAAAGTTAAAAAAAAATGAGATTTCAAAAATGCAAAGGTACAAACCAAATGGTTTTATCCGTCAATTTAGTTGGTAACATAACTAGAAAATGAAAATTTTCACTGTCAATTTATTGGGTAAACATCTTGAGCAACAAATTGTTCACCGTCAATTTAGAAAAGATATTCAGTGTTTTGGGTTTCACTCAAAATCATGTTGATAATGATTTCAAGATCATAAACACAGATGTTATGTAACCTAAGCCGTAGTGGTAAAACCTGAAATTCTTAAGGGTTACGATACATAATAATAGATTGGGAGCTTTAAGAAAATCATGTTAGCAATGATTTTGCGATATAAGCAAGAGTTTTTATAGCCCTATACTGAAACTAGTTTTGTTCCAATAATCAAGGGGCTACATGGAAGTCGTGATAAGATATATTAGAAAGAAGTGATAATTTCAACCATCTGCTCCTTGTCGTAGACTAAAATTCACAAAATGAATTTACCATCAATTCTTTGAAAATAAATTTTTTTGATGTTTTTGATTTTTCAGAACATGTAAATGAAGAACAACAAAGTCATATTACGTTTAATTGCTGAAACATAAAAAATAAAAAAAAAATAAAATAAAATAAAAATCTGATTTGAAACCCTTCTTTGCGGGGCTTGTAACTCATTCAATTTTTTACCAAATCAAGTGTTTTTATAGTCTAAACTTAACTACAAATCCTAATCTACATGTAGGAAAAAGATTCAATTCAAAACAAGTTAAATTTTCTGAGTTATGCACATTTGAACAACAAAGTCAGATTATATTTAATTGTTGAAACATAAAAAAATTCTGATTTGACACCCATCATTGCAGGGCTTGAAACTGATTCGATTTTTTACCAAATCAAACATTTTAATAGTCTAAACTTAACTAAAAATCATAATCTACATGTAGGAAAAAGATTCAGGTAAAAAAAGTTAAATTGAGTGAGTTGTGAAACTTTCAAAATTTGAGTAAGTTATCTGATATGGTTCCCGGTTTTGGGACGGTTCCAACGACCGGTTCTTATCGGGTCCAGATTCCAAAAATTGACGAAATTATAGTATCGGTCCAGTCCGACCGGTTCCATTGGGTTCCTGTTTCAGTTTTGGGACCGGTTCCTACCAGTTCCCCGGTCCATATGATCATCCCTAATTGGTAATACGTGGCAGATTACCTATGTCTTATATATTTTCTAAGACTATCAAACCAATGCAAAGACCATTCGCATTTCAAATATATCATATCAATTTTTATAATTAAATTTTCTTTCAATAATATTCATTCAAAATTAATATTTACATACACAAACTACTTTATAAATTTTAGCATAATTATTTAAGTACTAGGTGTGAGACCCGTGTATTATACGGCTTGATTGAAAAAGTTAAATATAAGGTATAGATATTAAGTATTTTCTAAAGTAAAATTTTGAAATAAATATAAATGAAATGATGAATAAGTATTTCAATCTATACTAATAAAAAATTGTTATCATGTTTTAAAAAATTATGTTTAATATGAATGTATAAAACTAAGCACGTTTTAAAGTAAACTTTCGAAATAAATACAATAAATAGAATAAACCACAAGAACCATTTATGTAATTTGTCTTAAATAATCTATACTAATAAAACTAATTAATATAAATTCACAAATGAAATTCATTAAATAGAAATAAGAATTCACAAATGGAAGGTTTACTATATACATTAATTCAAATTAATTAGTATGAGGTGATATTTAATAGGTGAAAGTTGAATAAAAATGAAAAAAAAATACAAAAATGACTAATAGAAAAAATAATTTTAAAATTCTAAAAAAATAACATGTGTAAAATTCAATAAGAAGTTGATATTTGATAAAATTATCTTTATTTATTAGGATAGATATTTATAAATATTAATTATTTAATAATATGTTAATGAAAGTAATTTTTTATAATTTAAAGGAAACATGACAATCTAATTGATGGAAACTAGTCTATCATCTATCATATAAAAAAAAATAAAAAAAAAAAGTTAATATGTTTTTAAGCAATTATATGATTGAATTGAATTTATGTTTTTATTCAAGGGTAAGCAAGATATTATGGACGGTTCATGCTAAAACCGTCTGGGGCCCATCTCGTTGCTAAATCATGCTACACAATCCGCAATTTAAACGTGTCATATTTTGAATACATAACGTTGTAGCTAGATGCAGAAAATAATTTGGTTTATTTAATTCAATTTATTATTATTATTATTATTATTTTTTAAACGACAAACTATCATAGTTCTAATCTAATCTTAAATATCATGTATGTCTCGTAATGAGACTTGTAATGAGATTTGAACGTATAACCTTTCATTTGAGAAAGTCATTCCTTACCACTAGGTCAAAAGTCTTAATAATTTGATTTATGAATATAGAAATTAGGTTAATGATTAATGTAATAATAAATTATAATTTTTTATATATAAATTGTATGTGTGAGCTTCATATTTTAAATATGGAAAGAATAAAACATAGAGTAAATTACACGAATGGTCCCTATGGTTTTGAGTAATTTGCATGTTTGATCCTTAACTTATTTTTTTAACTCGGAAGGTCCCTACTGTTTGTTTTTGTTACGTGTTTGGTCCCTACTATTTGTTTTTGTTACACGTTTGGTCCCTGTCTTACCCAAAACGATTATTATTTAAATATGAAAAAATAATAGGGCGGGTAAGATAAGGTGAGAGGGGTGGGGTTGGGGGTCTGTTTATTTAAATAGATTAAAAAGTCAAGGGTAAAATAATCTTTTTTATGTATGATAGGGACCAAGTGCGTAACAAAAACAAACAATATGGACCTTCCAAGTTAAAAATATAAATTAGGGACCAAATACGCAAATTACCCTAAACCATAGGGACCATTCGTGCAATTTACTCTCATATTAATTGCAATTTGTTAACATATTCAGTTCATTTAATACATTATATATATATATATATATATATATATATATATATATATATATATATATATATATATAAGTATTATGTGACTTTTTAATACATTATGTTATCATATTCATTTCATTTAAAACTTATAAGAAATTGGCATATAATAGAAATGATGTTCATTTATTAAAGTACTAGTTATGAGACCTATATATTATATGAGTTAATTTAAAAAAAAAAAAATTTAAATATAAATGTCAAAATATTTGAAAACTTTGAATCTATAAAAAAATAAGAAAAATATTAAATTATTATAATAGAAATATTGTTTAACTTTTAAATTTAAACAAATACTAATTTAAATAAATAAAAGAAGCTAATAAGCTTTAATTTTGAATATTTTGAAAATAAAATGTAAGTTTATTAATGATATTGATATCTATTTATTGTAATTATTATATTAAAGTATTATGTCAAATTTAATAAAATAGAAAAAAAAAAAAAACTCAAAAAATGACATATTGAAAAAAAAATTAATTTAAAATAACCGCAAAATAACATTTGATAAATTCAGTAAGGGTGTGATAAGTGACAAAAAAAAACTTTTATTTATTATAAATGATAGATAAATAGATATTTATGTATTAATAAAGAATTAGATATAAATAAATTATTTAATTAACTAAATTCTCTATTAAAACAAAGTGAACAACTATTTCACATTTGCAATTAAATTGCTAACACCGATGCTCATTTTCCCTTCTTTTTTTAATTATATTTTGAGTAAATTACACGAATGGTCCCTATGGTTTAGGGTAATTTGCATGTTTGACCCTTAATTTATTTTTTTAACTCGGAAGGTTCCTATTATTTGTTTTTGTTGCACGTTTGGTCTCTGTCTTACCTAAAAAAAAACTATTTTGCTCCTGATTTTTTTAATTTATTTAAATAAACACACTCTCAACCCCACTCCTTTCACTTTATCCTACCTATCTCATCATTTTTCCATATTCAAATAATAGTTTTTTTAGGTAAGACTGGGACCAAGCGCGTAACAAAAACAAATAGAAGGGACCAAACGCGTAACAAAAAATAAACAGTAGGGATCTTCCGAGTTAAAATAAATAAATTAGAGACCAACCGTGCAAATTACCCAAAACCATAGGGACCATTCGTGTAATTTACTCTTATATGTTTTAAGTCCCGTCACCATCAGGAAATAGAAGACGCGCGAAAGAATCAAAGAATGGACCAGCTAATCATAGAACAAATCCTATGTCTATATAATTGGCACTTTTACAGGATATTTTTACAATGTGGTTTCCTATTTTATGCTACATGGTTTTTGAAATATACATGTTGCTTTCCTTAATTTTCGTATAAAAACCTTAACAAGTTTAGAAATCCAAAACATCTCAGTTACACCTTCTCTTTGGTTACTTCCCTACTAACTTTCAAGAATTTTCATGGTATACGCAATAGCCATGTTGTTCCTTGTTGTGTTAGCGGCATATTCATCAATCTTTACGGCATCACATGAATTCACTAATATTTTAGGAGCCAATTCCAGTTTATCGTCTTCATTTCCAACAAACTTCTTATTTGGAACTGCATCCTCTTCTTATCAGGTTCTGTCTATACCATGGATTTTTCGCAGATTTCTTTTCTTTTTTACATATTTATTTGATGGATGAGCCACCATATTGACAGTTCGAAGGAGCTTATCTTACTCATGGGAAAGGTCTCAGTAACTGGGATACTTTCTCACATAAACCTGGTAATTACGTATATGTCTTTTAGTTGTATAGGTTATATAACTTTTCTTTAACTTTAATACTGTCCTTTCCATATTAATATTATAATTATGAGATTTGGTTCTTTTGCAGGTAATATCGCTGATGGTTCTAATGGAGATATCGCGGTTGATCATTACCACATGTATCTTGTAAGTATAGTGCGTCATGGTTTGACCTTAATTAATAGTCAAATTGCAATAGAACCAAAGAGTAATGCAAAGAATTGATCTAAATATTTTCGTAGGTCTTGTTAGAAACTCAAATTGAAATTATGTATTAATATGCTTGTTCAGTTGTTCTTAGTCTTGAAATTTTTTTAGACCACTTACAATATCTACTAGGAAGATTCTATTGGTGTTCGATTGCCTTGCTTTTATTATATTTTGAGGTTTTCTATAATTATCCCCTTTATTTTCCAATTCCACCTTGATTTGATTTTTTGTTTTTTGTTAATTTTTTGTTTTTTTGTTTTTTTTTTGCTTTTTTTTTTTGTTTTTTTTATTATTTTGTTTTTAATTTTTTTAAATTTATTATTATTATATTTTAATATTATTATTATTATTGTTATAAATTCCGTACAAAATTTTAACATTCGGACGACATTATAAATTCAAACGACTATATAAAATCGGTTTTTAAATTTTTTTTTTATATTTTAATATTAATATTTTTATTTTTATTATTATTAAAAATTGTGAACGATATTTTATAAATCGAACATTATAAATATGAACGACTATATAAAATCGGAACAAAAGCAAAGTTTGTCCCTATTAATTATGAATCTTAATTTTTATGATATTACAATTACATGGTGCGTTATGCGGATTGAAAACATTTAGTTCAACACTATATAATGCTTCCGATTTTATATAACCATTCGAATTTATAATGTCCGATTTATAAAATGTTGTTCGAAATTTATAACAATAATAATATTGATATTAAAATATAAAAAATTATTTAAAAACCGATTTTATATAGCAGTGCAAACTTATATTATCGTCCGAATGTTAAAATTTTGTACGAAATTTATAACAATAATAACAATAATAATAATATAAATAAAAAAATTAAAAAATTGAAAAACAAAAAAAAAAACAACAAAAAATAATATCAAATCAAATGTCAAAATTTTGATTTTATTAATTTTAAAGAGATAAAAATGATTAAATTTTAGCATCGTTTATGTACGGGTTGTATTGGGACGCACCACCAGATGATATGTTGTGACCCATGAAATGATGAGGGGCAAAAGTTCAAAACCTCTCATTTTCTCCTGCGTTTTGATGCTACATTTTGACAAAAATGCAAGGCCTTCATTGAATAGCTCCAAAACTAGAGTAACTTATGGGACGCCTTGGCATTCCCAACTAGGGACTCAACTTGTATCAGTCATTGTTGGAGTTCGTTGGCATTCACAATAATGAAAGCCAAATTTAAATTCGGTATAAGCAAGTGTTTTTTTTATTTTATTTATTTTAAATGTTTGTTTTATTTTACTTTTTTGTGGAACCCGCAATTTTATTATAAGATACTCACTAGCAAGTCACTAGTGAGAGTCACATATTACATTATAATTTCTTTTATTTTACTGAATTCGATTTTTGTTCAAAAAAATATATAGTTTCTAAAGTTGTGTCTTTATGATAATACAGGAAGACATTGAGCTTATGGAGTACATCGGAGTTAATACCTTTCGTTTCTCCATATCATGGGCTAGAATTTTACCAAGTAAGATGTTATTAAGTAATATTCGCAAGACTTGTGCCTACGGAGTAAACATCCAAACAACTCGTATACATATCACTTAAATTTATTGCTCCCGACATGGTGACATTGGAGAGCTAGCTCGTTTTCATTTGATGGAAATAATTTTTTTTTGAAACGGAAAATGAAATAAATAAAAAAGAAAACACAACCTAGCAAGATATAGCGGAGCATAAAAGAGAGCATACAATAGAGTTTAAGTAGTTACAAACATAAAAAAGGAGAAGCTACCCAATCAACCCATTTAATATCTTTCTTTGCCCCCTTGTGTTTCCACCAAGAAAATACCATAACTATTACATTATCAGCAATTATAGTAGGGGGAATCTTGGCATTTAGGAATATCCTATTATTACGACTCCTCCATATCCACCATAGCATACCATAATAGATAGTCAAGAAAAGTTTGCTCTTTTGGGGACAATATCCCCAAGAGGCGGCAAAATCTAGAATATCACTTGTTAAAATAAAATGTCGATCATTAATTCCACACCATTATAGAATCCATTTACGAGTGATGCGAGCTCCTTGGCACCCAACTAAAATATGATCTGAATCCTCCACAATTTTATTGCAATATCCACATATATCATAATTGATTGAGACTCCCCTCGATTTCAGTGCCATCGTCGAGGGAATGCGACCCATACTAGCTCTACATATGAAACAGTGACCTTTATCGGGACCATTTTTAGCCATAGAACTCTGGGACTTAACGAATAGGAGGGATATATATCGAGTTTGGATCGAATGAATTTAGTTGAAAATTGGCCATATGGAGCCAAGTTGCAGGTCCAAGAGTCATCCAAACTACAAGGGGAGAATGGAGCAATCACAGAGATGAGTTGAGATATGATAGGGGTTAGTCCGATGACATTAATGTCTACACTCCAATTCCATTCAAATCCGTTTGAATTTATGTGATCCGTCACTTTACATTTTTTTAGTACACTCCAGTTGATATAATTAAGGAAATCTTGTTTTAAGTGACATCCCACCAATCCAATCATCTAACTAGAAAAGTGTGTTATTTCCTGATCTGACCACCTTTTTTATCACATCATTGACCTGCAATCCAAATTTCTTAATATCTTTGTTGACTCCAGCAATATTGTTCCATACACCTACACTGCTTTTACAAGATAAGTAATTGGATGGCTTATCTACCAATCGGTGAATACCCATAATAATACCAACCAATAATGACTATGGATTATGACGTAACCTCCACCACCATTTTGTCAATACGGCGATATTAAGGGACTGCAGTGATCCAACTCCCAACCCGCCTTTCTTCTTAGAGGCAACTACATTATCCCATGCCACCCATCTTATTTTTGAGTTGCCATATTTACCACCTCCCCAAAAAAATCCTCGTCATATTTTTTCAAGAGTTTCAATTACACCCACAGGGACTTTAAATAGTGACATGTAATAGGTGGGGAGATTTCCTATGATGACTTTAATTAATGTTACACGACCTCCAAAGGATAAGGTTTTGGATTTCCATAGAGACAACTTAGAATTGAATTTATCTATGATTGGTTTCCAGTGCTTACACAGATTCATATTAGCCCCAACTGGAACTCCAAGTTATTTAAATGGGAGGGAGCCTGGTTCACAACCAAGAATACGAGCCCAATTGTTTATATCATTAACCGAAGCCACTAACCCAAATACTTTAGACGTGTGAAAACTTACTTTTAACCCAAAAGACACATGAAAGTATTTGAGAATTCTGGCAAGACTCTTAAGGTTGGACTTAGACCATTCCCCCATAAGTAATGCATCATCCGCATAGAATAAGTGTGATATAGACGGACCACCATTTGGAATCTTCAACCCCGAGTACGTTCAAAGATTGCAAGCTGCCTTTAATGTCACGTTCAGTCCTTCCATTCCTATGATGAAAAGGAATGGAGATAATGGATCCCCTTGTCTAACCCCCCTTTGTATGTCAAATTCATTAGTGGGGGAGCTGAACCGTAAAATATCAGATAATAAGAGAATTTTTTTTATCTTTATTCTTTTATGATTTATACACGATAACATGCAAAATAAAGACTATCCTGCATTGCGGCGGTGCCAATCCGTCTTGTTTTATGAATTTTGAATATTATATTGATAAAAATTTTGACATCTGAAAAGCATTGATTTAAAAAAAATTAAAAATAATATTACCGGCTACATATACTATTGTCGGCGACAAACGTGTTACCGGCAACAAAGTATTATTGCCGACGTGGTTATTACTGGCGACACATATTTTTAGTAGCGGCATTTTGAACAATAATGACACGGCAATATCAACGACTTTTTAGCGGCGGCGTGTTGCCGCTATTGCTTTTACATGCGATAAATCAAACTTTTACCGAAGAATTTTGTCGCCGCTAATAGCCCTTTTTCTTGTAGTGAATATATACTGTGGAAATGAAAGCATATTATATATGATCAAATTCATACATAGTAAACTATAAATTTGGTCACTATGGTTTACTAATACGTGCAGTTTCAAACCATTTTTTCATGCAGAGATGATTCAAAATTGAGACATCGATGCAGAATTAATCCCTCGAGTTAATTGTACAACCAAAACTTCCATTAAGTCTCACAGTTCTTTAAAAGCCAAACGTATTTTCTTCCCTTTACATATTTTTCCTTATTTATTTTATTTAAAAAACTATTAATCTATTAAAATATTAATCAATTAAAAGAAATATATTTTTCCTACAAATTACACATAGGGAATCTTCTCATTCCATACTCTTTTTCTTCAGAATCTCCTCTTCCACCATCACCGCCAACAATCAGCAGCACCAGAAATCATCACTAAAAGGTGGTGAAATGGTTGTATATACCATCCCCACTCTTATCCCTACTAATAATCCATCATCCCCTACACCTGCTTTCATCCCTTTTGAGTTTCGTTTGCCTCCTTGTGCCAATTGGGATGTCGATTCCCCCACCACACCTCATCAATCCCATCCCTATTGTCTAAAACGGCCAAGAACTTGTTACCGATCTAGGGTTTATGAATGTGATAGTCGGATGAGGAGGCAGTTAATCTAGGGCTCAGTCAATGAAGGCGGTAGTCGAAAGAAGATGAAGGCTCAGGTATCTACAACAGGAGAAGATAAAGGGAAGAGATGACGTTCTTGATATCGTGCATCTATCCTATTCTCCATTCATGTTGTTTTCAGAAACCCATAATCAATTTGGTTTTCTTTTTATTTTACCAGAGGTTTGTAGATCTGGAAATCATGTTTTCTAAGTTTTTGTTTGCAGATCTCAAAAACCCAATAATTTTGTTTTCGTTTTCATTTGTATATCCAAATAATTGAGCTTGTTAGTTTATGATTCTAGGGTTTTCAATTATTGAGTTTGTATATATATATATATATATATATATATATATATATATATATATATATATATATATATATATATATATATATATATATATTGTAGATATGGGAAAATATGGTATTGTTATTGAAAGTTGGGAAAATATGGTCCTGTTTAAAGAGCTTAAATACACTACTCAAAGCCTAATGATTCAACTGCACTAAATGTATAACAAAAAAAGACTAAACCTCATTCTATAGCTCAAAACTCTTCAATTTGACAAAAGAAAAACTTGTCAAGAAGTCAACTGCCAAGGTCAAAGTCAACAAACAAAAGTAAAAAATTCAACTCCTGGTACCAGGCGCGACACGTCCTCTTTTGGGCGTGTCACGTTTACTACAAGACAAAGTTGTCATGCTTTAGATTAAAACAGACGTGCATCTGAAAAACCCTAAGGTGTACCATGACCCCCAACAGACACATCGTGTCTGTCCAGATTCATCAACTAAATTCGACTTAATCCATTAAGTCCAAACTTTAAACTATCATATTTGACCACTAAATGTGTAAATGGATAAAGTTTTCAAATTTATCGATTAAGACATTCCAAACATGCAATATCTACACTTTAATGCTAAAAAAGAGATAAATGACCATATAACTTGCATGGCTTAAAGGGAAGTCACAAGATCACAAAAAGGTCCAAAGAGCTTTCTAAAGTACTTAAAAGGTTCCAGAGTTCTCTCAACTCCAAGAACACAATCAAACATGACTAAAAAGTGCAAAAAACAACATTTCACATGATCACAAGAACTAAAGAGAAATGTATGAACTTTATAGTCACAAAGGTCCATAAATGATGTAGTTGTTCTGGATCTATATTTGGATCTTCCTTATAAGAAACAAGGTAAAAAAATTTATGTTTAAACTTCACCAAAAAAAATGAAGATATAAGCTCACAAATGATCCAAAATCACAAAAACAATAAAAATGAGGCTAGTATTTCTCAAGAAACGTTCTAAGGGCGCTGGAGGCTGAGAATGAACAAACCATAAGGGTTAATGGACTTTAAATACCCCCAAAATGCTAATAACATGATAAGCCCATTAGACCAGAGACATGCTACATCTTCTGATAAATCAAACAAAATTTTAGTTTTTCAACAAATATGATTAATGGCTTCCTACTTGGCCCCAACCATCCACACTCATTTAGACTATAAAACCACCATTCAAGTAATGGAAAAACACCATTGCAAAATAGGGTGTTACACAATGGTTTACCATGTGTCATCCAACTTATACATATATAAAGTTTAACTAAAACACTAAAATGTTTTTCCAAAAGTTTAACTTACATTATTTGCAGTTAACAGGCTAAAACCAACCAACATGCTTATGATCAACACCATTATTCTTTGTAAGACTGTTAGCTACTATCAACATAACTTCTAAAAATTATAACAACAAACACAAAAGAAAATGATATCATGATATTTTCAACAACATTTGAGAAAATTAGGCAAGAAATAACACTTACTGATGGAAATTTTATTTCAACAATTACATGGGCATTAAGTTGTACATTAACTACGGCCTTAACATTTTTTGCACCTACGGTTTGATAAGGACTATCTAAAGTAACATTAATCAATTAAAAGTAATATATTGAAACCCTAACTTTAGGAATAAGAGTATCGACACATACATGAGAGTCTTGATGTTGGGTTGATCGTCATAGACATCAAAGAGGATAAGAGTGGAAGTTGATGCCTCAAAAAGAAATCCAAGTCATCATGTTGTTGACATGAAGTCGAGTACCTAAAGTCGTGAAGTAGCAATGATGGGGATGGGGTCGGTAAGAATTAAAGATGATGGAGGTGGTGACAGTTAGAATTAACGATGATGGGGATGGGGGTGACATGACTCAATGATGGTGGTGAGGGTAGTAGGATTCGACGATATTCGGGGTGATGTTGCCAAATGTAATTAGGTTAAATAACTTAACAATGGAAGGAAAAGGCATCACACAGGGAATGAAAATTGGAAGGGAATAAATTGCCCCTCGAAACAAAATATTAGAAGGGAATTCATTTGGTTTAATTATGCAGGATAAAGCTAAACACACTTATAAATGTTTTGAATGTGGTTATATGGAAACCACACCAATAAATTCTTTTAATGGTATGGTTCCATATTTTATTAATGCGAAAATAATTTTCGGGTTTTTTTAAAGATGTGGTTTTTGGCTACCACCATACCAAAAAAACCTATCACACTGGTAAATATGTTTTGTACAAGCGAAGATGAATAGATGTTATTTAACCTAACAATAAAATGATACCAATTTTTGAAATAATTAAAAGATTGAAATATTTTGGAGATAATAATTAAATGGAGAACAAATTTTTTTTTCTCTTTTCCTTTTTTACTAATACATGATGACATGCAAATTGTTAAAGATAGTCTCTAGAATCCATTGACCACCGACTTAATCTCCCTATTCTAATCTCCCTATACTAGTAAAATAATAGTACTTTTATCATGTGTTACCTTAGGCCATCCCCAATGAGGGTTTCATGAAGAGCTCAATGGATAAAAAATGGTGAGGTGACATTGAATATGTAGTATTTAGCATTGTGGGTGAAGTTGAATGAATGGGGGGTTTAATTCCCATTTTACGGTGGAATGGAATTGCCTTTTTTTATTTTGTTTTTCTTTTTGTTTTTCATTCTCAATTTAGTACAAAATATATATTATTATATTGAAAGTTAATTTTTTTTTTTTGTAAAAAAAAACTATATATTATTATTTTTTGTTTTATACTTCATTTTATTTATATTCAATAATTTAATTTATTAAGTTAAGTCATATTTTTTTTATTCTAAACAATAAAAAATATATAAATCCTAAATATATTTTAAAAAGATAACAATCTTATTTGTAACTTTTAATTTCTAAATTATAATCTTTAATTAATATTTAGTAATCGTAACTTTAAATTTCTAATTAACGTAATATTCTGGTTTTATTTATTAATACTATTTATATAAAAAAAAATTAAAATGATGATGTGACAATCCATTGAACCCTTAAGAGTTTAATAGAGTGTAGAGTTTAATAGGTTAAATGATATAGTTAGTAGAATGTTGATGTGATAATCCATTGAACTCTTAAGAGTTCAATGCATTGGAAATGACCTTATTAGACCTCTTAATTAATATCATGTCATTTGTCAACCTATTGATTCTTCATTTTTAATTTCAAATTTTAAATTTTCTCATTCTAATTATATTACATTAATAACATTAGAATAAAAATAAAATAAAATTAATACATATTATAAGGTGATATAATTTAATATATTTATGCAATGATTCTAATTTTATATAACTAAAAAACTATCTCTTAATTAATAATTTATTTAAAATAATTAATTAATGATTTTAAGTTTTTACTATCAAAATTTAATTAATTTTATAACCGTGATTACCATGGGTTATAAACTAGTAAATAAATAAGTTTATTCTTTTATTGACAAGTGTCATAATATTAGAAGTTCTAATTAATATTATATACTACCTATCATTCCATATATCAACCTATTAATTCTCCATTTAAAATTTAAAATTTCTCTTTCTAGTTACATTAATTAATAATTGATTTTTAATTTCAAATTTTAAATTTTAAATTTTAATTATATTAAATTAACATCATTAGAATATAAATAAATATATATTATAAAGTGATATAATTTCATGTATTAATTTATATCCATTATTATAATTTTATATAACTATAAATAATATCACTTAATTAATAATTTGTTTAAAATAATTTATTTGTAATAATTTATTAATAATTTTGAATTTTTAATATTAAAGTTTAATTAATTTTATAACCGTGGTTTTCATAGTTATAAACTAGTTTCTTTATAAATAATACACTTCACTTTATATATACTCCTTATTGCCCTCAAATAGGGTTATATAAGGCCACATAGAAAAGTAATACATAATAAATAAATAAATAAAACTTTTTCATAATATTGTGCAAGTAAATTTGCTTTTGACCACATCATTTAAGTGAAATTCGATTGGTTATTTTGTTGGTTAAATGGATATATGATATTGTATCCAGTAGTTTTCGAGTGATTTATTGATTATTCGTTTGTTTTCTTCTAGAGGGAATTTTTGGAGATGTTAACATGGCTGGAATAAGGCACTACGACAATCTCATCAATTCCTTGCTAGGAAAAGGTTGACCCATCGTTAAAAAGAGTGCACTTTTAGATTTTGTCCAACCAAATTCAAAATTATTAAGATAAAAATGTTATTCGGTATGTTTCTTTTAGGAATCGAACCATTTGTGTCATTGACTCATTACGACATACCTCAGGAACTTGAAGATAAATATGGTGGTTGGTTAAGTTCCCAAGTCCAGTAAGTAACAACAATTCATTGTTGGGTATACGTATATCTAAAATTCTTTTCATAACCTAACTTCTCTATAATATAAAATTTTATCTTTATACATAGATAGTGAAACAGTGTTTCTTTTTCAGGAAAGATTTTGCATATTATGCAAATATATGTTTCAAATACTATGGGGATCGGGTCAAGCATTGGGTCACCTTCAATGAACCAAATGTGGTTGCCATTCGTGGTTATAGATCAGGGATTTACCCACCAGCTAGGTGTTCTGGTTCTTTTGGGAATTGTAGCTCTGGGGATTCTGAAAGGGAACCATTTATAGTAGCTCATAATATGATCCTATCCCATGCTGCAGCAGTCGATATTTATCGGACTAAATATCAGGTACTCTAACCCCATCGAGTATAACTAAAAAAGAGATCGACATAATGTGTCATTCAACTTGTTTTTAATGACTTTTCATTGGGTTTTAGGGGAAACAAAACGCCAGCATTGGGATTGTTATGAATGCTGTATGGTATGAACCCATTAGCAATTCCTCAGAAGATCGACTTGCTGCTCAGAGAGCTCAATCTTTCTACATGAATTGGTGAGGTCACAATTTCATGGGACAACATTTGTAGTGTACTATTTTTATATAGTTGCATGCTTGAAATACCCTAGAAACAAAAAAAGATTACAACATGGATGCCCTGAATCCAATTTAATTTGTTGTTTAGGTTCTTGGACCCGATTATATTCGGAAAGTATCCTCAGGAAATGAAAGATATTCTAGGATCTTTATTACCCCACTTCTCAAAAGATTACTTCAAGAAGCTAAAGAATGGATTAGACTTCATCGGTGTCAACCATTATACAAGTTTCTATGTCAAAGACTGTTTACACTCAACATGCGAACAAGGACCTGGAATTTCCAAGACAGAGGGTTATTATCTCAGAACTGCTCTTAAGAACAACGCTCTAATAGGAGAATCTGTACGGAATTCCTAATTTCACTTCACCTTCTTTGTGTCCAATGAAAGTTGCAATAATTTCCTGATTTTTTAAATGCATACAAAGAAATATCATCAATTTGTATGGAAAGAGATTAGCATGGATAATAAGTGATTTTAACTTTGAAACCTACGTAAAAATCATATGATTGAATTTTTATTGGGACAGAAGGAGAAAGGTCCATTCTAGTGCTGATAGGAGATTCAATTTACTTGTTTTTTGCGTTATGCAGACTGCATTGGATTGGCTTTATATTTATCCCGAAGGAATGGAGAAGATGGTGATTTATCTCAAGAACAGATACAATAATATACCAATTTTTATCACGGAGAATGGTGAGCTATTAACTTATATGATATATTAATATGCACCAATGTTCAACATGTGTGAGGACATGAGACCAATTAACGGCTGTCCCAGGAAAAAAAATCCGAAGTGTTGGAAAATTTAAAATATAGACATGTTTTCTTTTTATTTAATTCATAAATTAAGTGCAACATATAGTTACATATCATTAATTCAAAATTTTTATTGAAAAAAATGAGTGAAATGTGTGAAATTTCTATGTGTGTCATAATTATGCTTGTGGTATGTGTGGAATGTGTGAATATTTTAGGATTGGGCGTGATGAACCAGCCTGATTCAAACGTAGATAGTTGCCTCAACGATGACAAACGAATAGAATACATGAAGAGCTACTTGGATGCCTTACTTTCTGCAATAAGGTATGTATCGCATCCATATTCCTTTTTTTTTTTTTTAATTGCAACAATCAGTTCTTCACTCACATATATAAAGTGCTCGAATCTTCATCAAAAATGTCTAAAATACCATTCCATAGATATATTATTGTGCCAAAATTTAGTATTGTGATTTGGAAATTTCACTTTTAGTCATGTTTTTATTGTATCTTCTTGGTTATAAATTTAATCAGGAAAGGAGCTGATGTTAGAGGTTACTTTGCTTGGTCGTTGTTGGACAACTTTGAGTGGTTATCTGGATACACAATAAGATTTGGGCTTTACCATGTTGACTATCTTACTCTTAAGAGGACACCAAAAACATCAGCAAAATGGTACAAACAGTTTATTTCAAACTTTACAAGGTTTGAAGATGCAACATCGTATCACATGTTGATGAAGCAATGAGTTGGCATTGTATGGTATGGTTAACTAGCTTGCTACCGGTAATATGCAACCAAATTAAGTAGTTAACGCGTTGTTTCATATGTATATAATGTGTACCCTACAACGAAACCAACATAGAGCATGATAAATCCATGATTCTAGTTGCATTGGAGATCACCTATTGCAAATATTGTACCTATATATTAATTGTACCTTAATTTTACGCCTAATAACAACGTATTTACAATTATTTACCAATAATAAAAAAAACTATTCTCACTTCTTTATGATAATAGTATAATGAATAATAGCAATATACTTATATATTTTTAATTTATACATAAGAAAAACATACTTCAATGGTATCACACACCTTTCAAAGGTATTTATCTCTTGTGGCTAGTCATACCAAACAATGCAGTGCATATATGTGAACCTAAAGCCAACTAAGACCATGTGTCACACTCATCTTCAATCATTCATATTTCATTAAGGACACTTACTCATCTTCTCCATCTATCATTTGTCCATCTATCATTTCATCTTTCAAACTATAACATGCTCATTTTTTTTTTATCATTTAACATTTTCTTTATTTTTTAAGACAATTAACAATTCTTATTTTTAAAATATTTAGCATAATAAATAAAATAAAAATTATATATCAGATTAATAATAATTAAAAAATTTCATTAATTTAAACTAAAAAACTACAATTTTTTTTAATAAAAATAATAGATCACTCCTAATTTAAATAACATAACCCTTATATATATATATATATATATATATATATATATATATATATATATATATATATATATATATATATATATATATATATATATATATATATATATATATATATATATATATATATATATATATATATATATATATAGACACACACACACATTGTTATGGTTCTCTAAAATCGCATCACATTTTTAACATTTTTGTCTTTTCTGATATCCCTCTCATTCCATGCTCCACTACACAGGTTCTTAGTGATCCTAACTGGAAACCTGCCATGGATAGTGAGATGATGTCTCTTAAATCTAATCACACATGGGATTTTGTTCCTTGCTCTCTTCATGCCAACATCATTAGATGTTTTTGGTTATATCGTCACAAGTTTGACATTAATGGAAAACATGATCGTTACAAAGGTCGTGTACGTTGTTGCTCAAGGTTTTTCTCAATAGCCCGACATTGATTTTGATGCCACATATACATGTTGTCAAACCTGCTACTATTCGTACTGTTCTTTGCATTACAACTTCTAAAAACTAGCCCATAAATCAGCATGATGTTAAAAATGTTTTGCTTTATGGTGATCTTTCTGAGGAAGTTTATATGAAACAACCTTCTGGATATCTTGATCGTACCCTCCAAATCATCTTTTTTTGCTTTTGCAAGCCTCTCTATGGCCTTAAATAGGCACCTCATGTTTGGTATCAATGGTTTGCTATCTTCATCACCACTCTTAGCTTTAATTGTAGTCACTCTGACTACTATCTCTTTACATATCATCATGGATATGATCATATCTACATACTCTTATATGTTGATGATATTATTCTCACCCTATCCTTGTCCTCCCTTATATCTCAGGTCATTTCATGCCTATCAAATGAGTTCCCTATGACAGATCTTGGCCCTCTCACTTTTTTTTGGCGTAGCTGCTTATCGATCCAGGAATGGTCTCTTTCTATCTCAGTTTGCTTTTGCTTGTGACATCCACTCTCGTATATACATGTTTTCTTTTAATACGTGTTTAAACCCCATGTTCCAGATTCGTTTAGCTTTCACTTATCATGGACCAAAGATGGAGTTTTGGGAAAAACTTTATGCTACAATGTGATGCAAGGATGCCCATGATGTAACATCAAATAAATGGAATGCATGTTTATTGATCGCCACCGCATGACATTAGGTTGGTCACGACATGGCAGCAGTTCTAGCCTAAGTCCATGATTTCTAGGGGTTTCTTTTTATTTAAACCTCATTGGTAGCTGTTCTTGCCCAAGCCCATGATTTCTAGGGGTTTCTTTGTATTTAAACCTCATTATATTGAATCTAGCGCTCCTTATTAGCATCCATCACCCTCAAACCCCAAAAGGCCTAACCCTAAACCCTCTTGGTGATTCTTGGCTTATTTTGTGCTTTTGGTAGCTTGAAGAAGAAGAAGAAAGTCTCTAGTGTGTTGATTCAGCAAACAAACATCATCATCGATCTCTTGAGCATTCTTTGGGCTCTTGTAAGTGATCAAGTTTCAATCTTTTGGTGCCTTTTCATCTAGATATTGGTTTTATGTCATATTTTGCTCCCTTTCATATGGTTTGTATGGTTGGAAGAGATAAAGGTTGAAACTTTATGGTTTCCCTATGTCCCAAACATATTTTATCTCATAGATCTAGGAAGAGGGGGTGATTTATGAATCTTGCATGAAATCTAAGCCATATCACATTTTTTACCTAGATTTGGTAAATGACATGCATGGTGTATGCATGTCAATAAACTTTACATTTATAAGGTTCATTAAGATCCCTAAAGTGCTTTTTGAAGTTTTAGGTTGAAGACTTTATTCACTAATTATGACCTTGGAAAGGACCAGATCTGAGCTTTGGAGCTCTTAAAATCGAAAGAAATCAGATTAAGCTCCATTGAACTGTTCAAACTAGTCCCTATGACGTGGCCTTATGCTGCCACATTATGGCAACTGGGAAATCTTCTCCCGTCTTGGCATTTATGTACCCACGATATAGCTAAGGAAGATCATGATGTGGAGCACCATCGTTGGCAATTTTTGACTTTATCTTTCATTGTTGAATTTACACTTAGGTTGACTTTGGTTCTTGATGGATGGATTTAGTGTGTAGACTATGGTTGGATCTTGTATGTTTCGATAGGGGTGTCGTAGCATTTGTTGTGATGCCTTGAACTATGGTTTAGCTGATTCGTGAGTCAGGTAAGTCTTCTCACTATACTCGTGGGTCAAAGGCACCAATGTCATCCTACTGGATTGTATTGTGTAGATGCATGATGTCTTTGTGACTTTTGATGATATATTGGAATGTTCTATGCATGGAGGGGATCTGGGCTCAGAGTTAATATGGACTCAGGGTTGATACATACTTGATGGAGCTGATCTGGACTCGGAGTTAACATGGACTCGAAGTCAATATCGACTCGTGGTTCATACGTGTTTGAGGTTATTGCGGAACTCATGCAACTACATGTTGTTATATATGTTGTATATGATATTTTAGGGAACTCACTAATCTTTATGCTTACAGTTTGTGGTTTAAACATTTTTTACGTCGTTCCAGATCTAGAGGGAAGGACCCAAGGTGATCGCACCGCATCCCCCAAAGTTTATTATGTATTGGCTAGTTGGATTTTTACTATTATGTTTAAAGAAAACTATTAATTTTTGTAACATTCTATTTATTTAATAAATTAATAGATAAAAATTGATGAACAAATAGTTTCACTAAATCCATATTATTTAGTGGATTGTTGGTTTTGAGGAGCCGAATGTTATAATTTGGATTATTCGGGGGGTTAAAGTGTAGTTTCGGGATTTGTTTAACAAAGGGTTTTAGAAGTCAGTGGGTGTTTGGTATTATTGGGACTTATTATGTAAGGATTTATGGAGGCAGGGGCTGATTGGTAACATTTTGGACTTGATTTGTAAAGGGTTTCAAGAGGCAGTGTTAAAAGGGAAAATTATGGCCTTGTTTCAAAAGGAATAATACAAGGAGGGACCATAGTTGTTATTATGGGAATGAGTTTGGATGGTATCGGGTATATAAGCTACGAAACCCTAACCCTAACTAGACCTCTACAGCCACCATCGTCGGGACTCTTTCATCTGCCAACCCCTTTACTTGCTCTCAGACGCCGCCACCACCACTCATGTTGCTGGACGTCGTACGCAGATGGGGAGGAACCACCGTGACCAGTCGAATGAGCCTTGTTAGAGGAGCTTCTATCGTTATTAGAGTCGTAGGGACACCAAAAGCGTTGAGACCCTCCAACTGCTGCCATGGTGAGGTGATCGCGACTTGGTCGCTGCTACACCGCCATCGAAACCCTACGACCGCAAGCACCACCGATGATGATATAGCCAGAGGATCTAGAACCTCGCTACTGCTACACCACCCTCTTTGTTTCTCTTTTTGTTCCGTCGTCATCCATGACCTTCCGCCGCTGTCTCCGGCCAATGGTGCTGCTACTGTTGTTTACATTGAAGACATGTATCGTCGGTTCGTGGGTGTCCTGTTTGCTTGTGTATGTTGTTGCGTGTTTGTAAAACAAAGGAAACCATCGCCACCACAGTGAGGTGGTGGTTGCTATCGTGAAACAACTGTTGCCATCGCCTTATGCCACTAGGTGGGTGGCTGGAATTCCTTCATAAAAATAAGATGTGTGTTGTGTGTGATTTGTTTCATCGGAAAACAAGAACAGCCACCACCACCACCGTGAGGTGGTGGTTGCCGCCATGTATCACCGTCGGCCACCACTAGATTAGTTGTGTGTGTGTTTATGTTTGCTAGTGTGTGTGTGTGTTTACTTTTGGATTAAAGCATTGTAACTGTAATTAGCAAGAAGAATAATGAAAAGAACCTTAACCACCACTGTGAGGTGGTGGCCGCCGCCGTGAGCTGACATTGACCACCACTACCCGACTAATGATACCCTATGGGTCTAGTGAAACCCTAATTGATCAAAAGACCTAACTATTGGGCCTATTGGGCTATGATTGGGTTGGAAACCCTAATTAGGGTTTGGAAAACCCTAATTTTGGGATTATTGGTTTGGACTTATCGGGACCCGCATTTTGGACCATTGGAGTGAAGTGATAACCAAAGCCCGATTTAATTGTATGTTTGGACTTAATGGATTAAGTCCTTAATGAGTTAAGTAGGAACACTTAACCCGCATCATTTTATGTGAAAAACCCTAATTGGGTTTGGATGTTTGTTAGGCCACTTATTGGACTAAGTTGTTGTGGG